ATATATATATAACGTTCAGAGATTGAAATGCCCCCTCCCTTCCCCCCATAAGGGGGGGAAGGGAGGGGGCATTTTTTTAAGCATTTTTCATATTCGGCCGTGTCTGTCCCGAACGTCTAGATGTGTATAAGAGACAGCCCCACGATCGCCCCAAGCTCGACGAGTAATTTCACAAGATTCCATTTCGGCGCTTATTTCGCTACGGCAACCGGAACCTAATGCGGACATAGAGCTTCTAATTTCCCCGGCCATAAGAACCTGGGGCGTCCGTGTGCCAGCGGCTGACAGGTCTTCGAATTTCGATAGGGTTAAGACTAAAAAAAGTTTTTGCGACATGAAGCTAACACGCGCTTTAAAAAAATGTTTTGGAGAAATATTTGGATAATTCTCATTTATAATTTAAAGGCATCATACAAGTCTCTCTGAAGATCAGGCTAGTGAGTGGAAGCAAATAAAGCATGGTTTTTATTCGTACGACCATCCAGGTTTTACAGCTTAGGTTTTTTGTTGCAATCATGACTGTACTAATTACTGATTTATCTGTGTTCTAGAATTTTCGAGCTGACGATGGAGCTGGACTCCGAAACATTTTCTTTAAAGATACTATGAATTTTTGTAGAGTTTTCTTTGCTTTTAAGTTTTTAGACCATCAACAAGTGATTTAATCGTTAGCAATTAATATTGAGCGTATGCCAGAAGGATGGAAATTAATTACAAAGTTTGCAAATATTCTCTTAGCATTTACTTTGGTAGTCACATGAGCTAGAAGTAATTTCCTCTTAAACGTTCCAGGGATTAATTCCAATTATTGATTTCGTTTACTTTTTAAACTCTAACATGTTTCCACTATATACACAATAAAACTAAGATGTACTGTATTTTTTCAGATAATTTCGTAGAAAGGATATATTTGTAAATTATTTTATTGTTATTAAGATCAGACGAGTTTACGGTGTCCTGTTAAGGAAAAACGAGAATTTCAACACAAATATCTGGTAAATGACAAATAAATGTTAATATTCAAAATTAAATCAAATTAAACACATATTTATCAAAATTAAATGAAAATGACTTTCCACTCCCTGTACCCCACTCTTCCATTCCGGCCATTTCATCACTCGACGAAGTTCCGTTTTACTTTAAATCATTCTCATATTAATTCATCTTCTTTTAATTCTTTTACTACAAATTCTCAGGGATCATATTTGTACACTTGATTCTCCCCATCCTCACTTCACCTCCCCATCCACACAGTATATACGGAGAGCGCGATCAGCTGTCATCATATTGAGACGTTTTCTCTTGTCAACTGGTCAAGGTGAGCTCTGAGATCTAATGCCTTTATTGATTGTCTGCCCTAGAATTTAAGGTATAATTTTAATACAATTCAATTACAAATAATACAATACAAGAAACAACAATTTACAATTACAACAATTGTAACAATTGTTAACAATTTACAATTACAAGAAACAACTTTATGGTTTGACCTCTCATCCACGATAGTTCAATAAAATGGTTGCTCACAAATTTGCAATAACGTGATAGTCTTCTTTCTCGCGAAAGCTTTTCTTCTTTCAAGCATAATTTTTACTGCACTGAGGATGCTGTTGCACATTGACGGTCGTGTCGTTCATTCGTACGGCTGTTTCGATTTCCGTGTCGTTACTATTTACGGCTGTTAATATAAGATATTTTATTTTATTGGGTGCTTATCTTGAAGTTAGGGAATCATGTTGAATATGGTGGCTCAACATGAATACTCATTATGTAGGTGCTTTTTTATTGACTTTTTATTGCTTTATGCTTTTATATGTAGGTGCTTTTTTATTGACTCAACCTCTACTCGGCCTTGAATTCGCCAGCCAAAATTCAAGTTCAACCTGCCTCACGGCTCGCCAACCAACTATTACTTGATAAACATCGGTTTTTCAAACTCAATCACTCAATCTATCGTAAAAATGTCAGTAATTATTCATATCACAATATTCCTGTCTCGATGAATATTCCATTTCTGAATGAATATTATTCCTATTCATTCTATTCACGGTCACAAAAGTTTTTTGCCTCGTGACTCATTGCGTCTAATTTTTTTCGTGTTTATGTTCATGGCGCTGAGTTGATGAGTTACTGGGAAGAAAGACATGCAATAAAAAATCGTTTCAAATAAATTCAGCAGTGACTAAATTAATGTACATTGATTGCGTTGAATATCGTGTGCAAGGCCCGGCCGCAAATAAACATTTTTTTATTCATCACATGCATCAATAATAAAATAATGAGAAGAACATACGTAGGAAGCAGGCAAAACTTTGCATTTTAGTATTCAGGTTAGGTTATATGCATCCATGCTGCTCGATACTCACGATTTGGTAGAAATTACATCAACAGGAATGAAATATAAGTTTTACGCTTAGTTGATGCTTACAATAGATTATCACGGAGTATCTTATAATCTCTCTTCGGCATTTCTCTCAAAAAGTCTGTCATTTTACAATGTACATTTTCATATAATATATGGTATAATATAATTTTTATAATTATTGTGTATATAATATAATATATAAAAATTATTATCTTTTTATAATATAATAACCTTTATATATATATATATATATATGTCTACATGATTACTTGAGTTATAATAATATCGTTTACGAACAAATAACACAGGCAATTGTCATTGTAAGTTAAGAACTAATTTTTCTGCTCATCGAGAATTCGTATCGTTCATTTCGAATCATCACTTGCGTAGTTCTACCCCAATTTATTGTAATGAATTACGTTCATGTGTATGTATGACAATATCTTACACGATCGTTTTGTTTTCTTCAATAGTTGCAGCGAAGGTTGCCAAAATGGTTCGACGAGAGACGCTTCAAACGATCCTGACGCTCTGCCTCTGCTTGGTGAACATTGATGCCGCTCCAATGGTAAAGTTACTCGTTATTAACTTCCCAATATATGTATTGCTGCACATTCAAACTATCCATTTTAAGCATAACTTCTGAGGGATCAATTGCGCATTCGGAGCTGGATAATTTTTATGGAAATCATTGAAATATGCTCGGTGCAAAATAATTGTGTAATGTTTCAAAAAAACTATTAATAAACATGATATACATGTAATACGTGCAAAAATTCTTCTATGATATAGGTAAACTGTCTGTAATTAAAATACCTGCACTTTGCAATGCTACCATATTTTAAGGAATACAGTAATCGAGAAGAAATACAGTTGATGTTACGATATAGAATGTTGATCAGTTGATGCTACGATATAGAATCAACTAACGTAAACCCCTAATTAAAAAAAAAAATAAAACCTAAATTACTAACGTAATTTATTTTAGCTCGAATTAGTGGTTCACTTTCGCAAACTTCACGCAATACAGAGATTTTTACAGTCAAATGAAATACATTTAATTTCAGTATGAATTTCAATATGACGATGAACTTTATTTAATTTAAAAATGTTTTTCAGGATGTGCATCGAAGAGCAGACGGATCCGTCTTGCTAGACGACATCCTGTATTCTGCGGAGCAATGGGACAGTTTTCTTGATAAAAACTTGATATCAATGGAAAGACTTTGGCCAAAAAAGGACGGAGTTGTGAATATTTTCTACAAAATATCGGATCGTGAGTTAATCCCAGCTTAAAGCGTTGCAAAATCAATTGCATTGACTATAGTTTCTTCACCTTATTACAACACATCTCTTTAACTTCACTTCTTCTTTGTCTGTTTGTTTGTCTGTCTGCTACAAATCTTGTAATTGAAACTTAACACACTTCTACTTATCCTCTCGATCTTAAATTTTGCACACTTGCGTAAAGTTGGAGACAATAAATGAATCAAATGACAAAATAAATAATTTTAGAATAAAATTTTTTTCCAATATTAAAAAAATTAAAAAAATAATTTTGTCAGCTACGAATCTCATAATTAATATTCGACACACTTTTACCTGTCCAATTGATCTGAAATTTTGCACACTTGTGTGAAGTCGGAGGCAATGCATGAATCAATTGACAGAATAAATAATTTTGAAAAAAACTGATATATAAAAAATTGAAAATTTGATTTTTTATCATTCGAAAATAAAATGAGAAATTCATTGTACATCTTTAACATTGGAGACACTGGATTCTTTAGAAGTGTTGTCTTTAAAAAGTAATTTTTAAACGTATATTATTCATTTTCCTTTCGCATTAATGTAGCACGGGAATGTCACGATGCCCGGTAAAAAATAAATGAAATTTGGGAATTATTTTTCCAATATAATTTTCTTGGATTACGTCATCCTGGATCTGTTCAACCGGAATCCAATTAATAATTTCGAAATTAAATAGTCTGAAAATAAAGAAGGACATGGACAAACCCTTATTTTGCACGGAAGTCTTAATCTTTTACTATTTTAACCACTGAACTTCTTATTCAGGCTTCAAACATTCAAACTCAAACACAAAATTTGATAACTTACGAGTACAAGATCTCATTTATTTGCTTGTTTCCGTGTACCCAATGAACTACTCGTTGAACTTGTATATTGTGAAAGAAAATCTAACAAATGAGCAAAACTTTAAATGTTTGACAATGCTACGTGTAAAATAATGAAATAACGCCTGTCCTGTCACAAAATTTACTGAGCATTCAATTATCAGGGCCTATACTATCAAAAAAAGTTAAGAGATCGTAACTTCATCAGCCAATCATTGACGGCTTTTCAAGCAAAATCTACCAATCACAGACAAGAAAATAGAGCGTAAGTATACGATCACTTAGCAAGTTTTGAAAGTATGGCCCCTGTACTATTAACGGTGGTATGTGCCTAATATCGGTCTTGTTATAACCGTTTCCAACCTTTTTTATCTTTATTTCGGCAGCGAATTTGAACGTAACTGCATTAAATTTGGCGATCGCTGCTTGGGAGGCCAAGACGTGCATCACATTCTCCATGATGTCACCGTGGGCTGAGCCAGCCGAATACATGAACTTCTTGCTCGATAAATCTTGTCACGCCGGCTTAGGTTACTGGGAGGGTCAACCTACAAAAGTCAGCCTCGCTAATTGCCCAGTACGTGCCGCTGTGAACGATGAATTATCTAATATTTTAATAACATGTTTCGTATACTTCAACTGTTATCAATATTGATTGAAGAACTAGCAACAAGTTACGACCGTCAGCAAAGCACTTGCACGTAAATGCGACTTAATTGGCAACTAAGGTTTAATTGGACTAAGGTTTAATATTAAAGCGATAACGGTCCCAATATGAGCATAGGAAGATATTTGAAAGATTGTCGAAGATATTTCTTGCATAAGACCATTTATTTCTTGAAGTCAAAATCTGTTTCAATTGACTGTAAGACAAGGCGGAAACTAGGTTTCATAACATTAAATCTGCAATTTAGCATTTAGTTATTATGTATTTTCTTGAATATGACGAGTATCTAATGAAAATTTATGAGTTGATCATTTACTTATAATGTATAAATACTTATATTTGATTATTATTTAAGTATAATAACAAATGTGTACCAATTTGAACATATCCCATGCAGTTTTGTTATTTTAATGAGGAATATTATTAAGTAAGAACTAATTATTGAATATCCTGCAAATGAACGTGAGTCCTGAAATATGGATATTTATGGCGGTATCTTAAACTGAGTGATTCATTGAATGTAAAATGCATTTCAATAATTAATATGCACATCAAGGCTCATCCCAGGTCCAATATAATGACAGATATTTTAATAATAGCAGTGAGTTTATGATGCTTTATTCACAGGCAAGGGGACCAACTCACGAGATCGGCCACGCATTGGGGATAGAACACGAACAGTCCCGAAGTGACAGGTGTGTGAGAGCCTATGAACGATTACGTGATGTGAGGTATAGAAGTGCATGAATTAAGCGGTCGATATTGGGAAGGTAGTGATAGGAGCGCAAAATTTCTATTACAATAACGGATCATATAAATATATTGGCCATTATAAAATGTAACCATTAAAAATGCTTCCTAAATAAATATTTACAAGCGAAATGTACACGCATGACCAACATTTCTATTTAACTTATTACCTAACATTCACTGTATTCACTTATTTCCATTTGCACGAGGACGTATTTTAAACATCGATGGCATATACAATACTAAACTGAATTGACAGATATAGTTAAAGTCCCCTTAGATTCACTTTAATAAAAACGTAATAAATACATAATCCATTCAATCCTTAACAATGACAAGCATGAAATTTTGTTCCTTCGAAGCTTGATGAATTCTTACTGCACTGCCGTTGGGCCATTAATACAGACACGCCTTTTCTGTCAGTCCTTCTGCCATGGCGCAACAAAACAATTTGGTGCCACACTCGCCGAAAGTTCCCATTATACTTTATCCTTAATTATGATATTCTTTACTACGGATCCTCGTCAACGGTCAATTGCAAGCACACCACGCAAGTTTTCGCTGGTGATTTCGGAGATTTTTAGGAGACTTTTTTGAGATCTTCCACTTCCGTGGTATCTTTCCTAGTTTTTCAGCTCACTTTTGGCCGTTTCTGAATTTTATTTATGACCTTCATTTTCGGCAATACATTTTGGCACCATAGATGTTTTCGTTATTTTATTATTCACTTGTACCTATGTAAATTCTGAGTGAGGCGGACGCGCATTTTCTTTCTATTACTTCCAATTTTATTGATCAACTCCCATTCAAATGCATTTAAGAAATTGAATCAAACATGTGCTGAATCTTGAATATGTGACTTTATCAGGAGTTTAATTTTGAATCCTATTTGAAGATAAATCCCAGAAATTAATATATTAAAATTCTGCTTCAAATTCTTGAAAGCTTCACTTATCATAAAATTATTTACAGTATGAACTCTAATAAGTGTGTGCGATAGCAAACACTATCGATGTTTTTAAACAATAATATTCCATAATGATTATATGGTATGGGATGGGCTGCTCAAATACTCGTAATTTATTAATATTTTATTTTCAGGGACGAAAACATCATTGTTTTCATGGCTAACGTTAAGCCAGAATCTGCAAGTAATTATGATAAAGAACCGACCATCAACTTCAACGTCCCTTATGACTACTACTCTCTTATGCACTACCGTGAACGGGTTAGTATATATATATATATATTTACACACGTGCGATTGGTGACCAGAGAATTCGTTAGTTTATATTATCAGGGAGTGGAACTTTTCTTCAGATGACGGTAGATAAAAAGGCGAGTTTCAGGAAGTAGTTTTTCTTTATTAACGACGTTTCGAATGCAACGAACATTCATTTTCAAGTTAGATGAAGCATTAAACATTGAAATTTTGGTGGAAATAAGTACATAATATAAGTAAATAGGATACAACAGTAAAATTTTTTTGGACCAAAATTACTCGGGAAACTCTTTCAGAGTTCAGACAAATCCGGTAGTCAGAAAATAGATAGCTGGAGCTCAATCTGTAGAGATGAGGGGTTCAGCTATCGCCGGTCGATTGTTGTCGGGCCACTGCATGATCACGATGCTGATGATTACGTTCAGCACAATGCGAGTGACGGTCTGGTTGTGAGCTTGTCTCGCGTGGTTCACCTGTCTACCAGTTTGAAGGTAGCTAACGAGATAGCGGCTCGGTGTTTTGGTTATTAGTCCAATCTGTCCGATGCTGTCTAAAACATGAAGAAGTCTACAACCTTCTTTGAAGCAAAATTTATAGACTACGCCGGCCTCTCGGATAACTTCCGCGTTTTTGCAGGGGCCTTTGTTACGTTTAGTTTGGAATTTGACATTGTTGTCAAGAGTGTCACAAAGCCTGTTGAATTCATCGACGATTTTGAGATGAACTTGCTTGTTAACAATGCGTTGAGACCTGGCATGGTAGTGAGCTTGTCTCTGGTGGTAGGAGAAACGGCAGTTCAATGTCGCAGTTGTCACTCCAATAAGTCCAACGTAATCCATAACGCGAAGAAGTCTACAACCTTCTTTGAAGTAAAATTTATAGAATACATCGGCCTCTTGGAGAACTCTCGCTTTTTTGCAGGAGCCGTTGTTCGGTATAGTCCGGGGCTTGACTTTGTTGCCAAGAGTGTCACGGAGCCAGTCGAATTCATCGACGATCTTGAAATGATGCTGCTCGATTGTAATACTTTGAGACCTGGTCTGGTTTTGAGCTTGTCTCTGGTGGCAGGAGAAACGGCTGTCCAATGTCGTAGTTGTTACAGCAATCACCCGAATGCGATCCAAATAATGAAGAAGTCTACAACCTTCTTTGGGGCAAAATTTACAGATTACACCAGTCTCTCGCAGAACTCCCACTTCTTTGCAATGGCCATTGCTCAGTATAGTCCGGGGTTTGACGTTGTGTCAGGAAGTAATTCTTATTTATTAACGACGTTTCGAATGCAACAAACATTCATTTTCAAGTTAGAAGAAGCATTAAACATTGAAATTTTGGTGGAAATTTGTACCTACATAATATAAGTAAATAGGAAACAAATGTAAAATTTTGGACCAAAAATTACCCGGAAAATTCATTCATAGTTCAGACAAATCAGGTAGTCAGAAAATCAATAGCTGGAGTCCAATCTGTAGAGAACCCCTCACCATCAAAAATTGTTAATAAAAAGCACGCTCTGGTCTTCAATCAAACCAGTATATATATATTACAATAGCTTGGCAAAATTTGTCCCTTTAAGCAGGTTTCATTGAAGACCAGAAAATTTGTTTTATTGACAATTTTCTTATTAGTTTTTTCAATCGATTGAACAAAATTTTTCGTTTGCACTAGCTGGTAAACCAAAAATCAAATACCGATTGACATTTTAATTCTTTAACGGCGTTTCGAATGTTCCTATCATTCATTATCAAGTTAAAAGGCGCATTGAGTGATGGAAATTGGGTCGATATAAGTACAAAATCAAGTAAATAGGATACTACTCAAAAATTTAAATTGTTAAAAATAATTACAAAATCACAGAAATATGCAGATAATCAAGAAATAAAACGCCGAAAATTGCTCCGAAAACAGTCTCCAGGTTCTGACAAATTCAGTAGTTTGAAGGTTGATGGCTGGGGTCCTATATCCTTATTGATGAGGGCCTCAGCTATCGCGAGTCGGTTGGCGTCGGGGCATCGTATGACGACGCTGGTGCCTTCTTCCAGCACCGTAAGGGTGATGGTCTCGTTGTGGGCTTACATAAGGTGGTTCCTTGGTCCACCAGACTGTACTCTGAAGGTGGCACGTGAGACGTCGGCTTAATGTTATGATATAGTCGGCACTGCACATATTTCGATTTTTGATTAGTTCCTATTTACTTGATTTTGTACCTATGTCGATCTAAATTCCATCACCCAATGCGCCTTTTAACTTGATAATGAATGATAAACATTCGAAATGTCGTTAAAGAAATAAAAATGTCCATCGGTACTCTGATTTTCGATTTACCATTGCAAACGAGAAATGGTCGATCTATTGAAAAACGAATAAGAAAATTGTCAATAAAACAAATTCTCTGGTCTTCAATACAGGTATATATATATGTAGTATGACTAAGTATTTTCTTATTTGTTGTCATGAGTAATTTTCATTTTGCTTTTAACTCTTGCAGAGTTTTGGCATAGACGGCAAACGCGCGATGCTTGCTAAAGATGCTCGTTTCCAAACGCGCATGGGAAAGGGCACTAAAATTACACACTGGAACGCCAAGCTCATGAACACCATGTACGGCTGCATAGGTGAGGCCTGTTGAACACAGTGTATCTCTGCACAGGTGAGGCCTGTTGAGCACAGTGTATCGCTGCATAGGTGAGGTCTGTTGAGCATAGTTTATCTCGGCACGGGTGAGACCTGTTGAGCACTCTGTTGAGCACGGTGTATCGCTGCATAGGTGAGGTCTGTTGAGCATAGTTTATCTCGGCACGGGTGAGACCTGTTGAGCACGGTGTATCGCTGCACAGGTGAGGCCTGTTGAGCACAGTGTATGACTGCAGAGGTAAGGCCTGTTCTATGTAGATGCGGATTTGGTGGAACAGTTGGAGGTGGAGGTGAAGCTATAGGTAAACGTGGAGCTAGAGATTGAGCTGGAGATGGAACTGGAGGTGGAACTGGAGGTGGAGCTGGATGTAAAGCCAGAGGGTGAGCTGGAGGTGGACGTGGAGGAGGCTCGAGATCGAGTGAGGCTAGGGCGAAGAGTGGTGTACTACAGGGAACGGTACTCGGCCCAATCCTCTTCCTCATTCACATCGCCGACATAGATGTGGCAGTGAAACACGCCTCTGTATCGTTATTCGCGGACGACACCAGGATACAATTGACCATAACGGACAGGAGAGACTGCGAGAGGTTGAAAGAAGACCACGCGGCAATATATGACTGGGCCCAAGTGAACAACATGCAGTTCAACAGGACCACGTTTGAGGTTTTGAGATACAGAGGTAGCGGAAGAGCGGGTATGGAGCACCGCTACCTAGCACCTGGCAACTCGGAAATCGAAGAGAAGCGAATCGTTCGCCATCTAGGAGCGTTGATGAATACTCAGGTCAATTTTGGAGATCACATAACGGCAATAACCGCAAGAGATAGGCGACTGATGGAATGGATCTGACGGACGTTCAAAACAAGAGAAGCAGAACCGATGATCACACTCTTTAGAGCCCTTGTAATAACAATCCTTGAATACTGCTGCCAGCTCTGGACCCCGTTCACACTCGGCGCAGTGCGGCAACTGGAAGGTGTCCAGCGAACCTTCACTTACAGGATCAGAGGGATGGAAGAGTTGAACTACTGGGAGAGGTTAATGCACCTGGGTCTGTACTCACTGCAGAGGAGACGACAGAGGTATGTCATTCTGTACACATGGAAGATATTAACCGGAATGGCGCCAAACTTCGAGAGCGAGACCTTCAGGATTGATACACATCACAACGAGAGAAGGGGGAGACTGTGCAAGGTCCCCACACTACGTAACAGATCTGCAGTCAAATATCAATCCCTGCTGGAAGGATCACTTTCCGTGGCATGGCCGAGGCTATTTAACGCCCTACCAAAGTATCTAAGAGAGGGGGAATTCACCCAGGAGACCTTCACGAGACAACTGGACGTGTTCCTGGGCACAATCCTAGATCGACCTCCCCTGCAACACTACCAGCGGCGAGAAGCAAGCAACAGCATCGTGCATTAGCTGGCCCAAATGAGGGCGGATGAGCGATAATTAGAGGCGGCGATCCATCGTGGCCAGGGACTGCTACGTCCCAAACAAATACCAAGGATACCAAGAATAGCAATGAGCTTAAGGTGGATGTCATTCATTGATGGAAATTGTGGCATCCTGCCCTAATATCCTATAGTCTAGTTACGAAAACGTCTGCTTGCCATTTATTTAGATTTCGTAGTTATAAAGAGATACGAATCTTTTTTATGTATACGGATTATTATCATTATCGATACATATCCGACCCTTATTAATAAGTATTCATTAGTAGGATTATCAAATAATGATATTATTTCATCACTTTCTGATAGTTGTAAACACTAAGCAAACAGGGAGCATATTCGTGGATATGGTCACGTTTTCATATGATTAATTCATTTTCATGTACGGGTTATTCACAAGCATTTGTTCATATACATTCATTTGTTTATCTCTTGTTAAAGACGATTGGTTGAAGGCCTGCAAGAAAGAGTCTGAACCCTGCAAGAACGGCGGCTACACGCAGAAGGACTGCAGCTGCGCGTGTCCTCTTGGCACGACTGGCGACAAGTGTGAGAATCTCGTCTTGAGCTATAGAGGTGAGGCACGGAACAGCATGGAGATTGATGATGACGATCATGAGCTAATAGAGGTGAGGTACGGAACAGCATAGAGATTGATTATGAAGATAATGAGCTAATAGAGGTGAGGCAGGGATCATTGATCATACAGATTGATTATGATGATCATGAGCTAATAGAGGTGAGGCACAGAACATCATAGAGGTTGATGATGACGATCACGAGCTATCGAGGTGAGGCACGGAACATCATAGAGGTTGATGATGACTATCATGAGCTATAGAGGAGAGGCACAGAACATCATAGAGGTTGATGATGACTATCATGAGCTATAGAGGAGAGGCACAGAACATCATAGGGTTGATGATGACGATACACAAATGATAGCAAGAGTGTAACGCGATAGTCCCTAAAATTAATGTGATCGAGTATCGTTTAGTGGTCCTGATCAGTCACTCCTACAACCAATGATACTGAAGAATAGTCGCACTTTCTTACCAAAAGCATGAACAGAAATAGGACATGGCACTTTTACTCCATACATATTGTCTCCATATTGTTTGTATCTGTGTTCTAGGTTTTGAACTGACGATGGAGCTGGACTCCGAAACGTTTTCTATTATAGGAAATGGTGAACTTTTTGGCTATTTTATTTACTTCTATATTCCTGGTAAATTTGCGATTTAAGCAGCCAAGTGATCTTAATACTTAACTCAATCATATGTTTGGATGTTACAGAATATAGATGATTAAGGGGCCATGAAAATAAATTCTTGACTTTCAATAAACTTTGATGTGATTCAGACATGATACACGCCTTAACTTCCTAACAATTTTTATCTATCGTTTACATATCATCGTCGCTGAACGCTCGCATTTCAACACAGATGCTCTGATAAAGCAGCTCTCCCCGTACACTTCCGTCATCTCAACCTCTGGTGCAGTGGTCGTCTCTCCTGGCTACCCCGACAAAGGGCCATCGACCGGTATGTAATTCTTAGCAAGTGTTTTGATTGGGGATTTTGTATTGACAATTTTTCATGGTGCTTCAACTTCATGTTCGTCTCTCTTGGCTACCCCGAAAAAGGGCCGTCGAGCCGTGTGTAATTTTTGGCAATTGTTTCGGTTGTTACTTTTTTATTGACTATATTTCATGGTGCTTCAACTTAATGAGGAATGAGTTATCAATGTAATATAAATAACATTCAATGTTGCATTTTCACGCCAAAATGACTTTGTAAACGTGACGTTGCGGCTATTTTCCTTCTAAATCAGTTTTCAACGTGATTCAAACGTCCTCAATGGAGGTTGTTTCAGCGTTGATTCGACTAGAGAATACATAGTGGGTTGGTAGTATGACTATGAACATAATTAATGAGACGCCGTTGCATATTTTCAGTGAGCCTTTTGTCAGTAAACTCAAATTCAGTCCCAGCAAGGTCAGTTGTACTGAATCAGATGGATGAAAATTGAGTACATTGTTATTGCGATACGTGTCAATTGGCGTATGAAATGATCCGCTCATCTTACTCGCCGGCTGATCTGCGTGACAAGATGCAGACGTGACCGAATCGTTGTATTAAAATAACGTCTGGACTGTCTAGATACCATTATAGTGACCTAGGCGATTATTCTGTAGCCATTTTACATATGTTCATTTGATATCTAAAGTCTACCGTAATCTAAAACGTGGTATTCAACTGAGGCCAGCTTACCAACAATTGAATAATAATTACAGCGCTGCATAAAAATGTATTACGGTTAATTTTCTATCTCTCACACGAATAAAATAAATAAATCATAAAAAACATTATTTCTATACTGTCTTTGTTCTATCGAGCAAATGTATGGCCTAAAAATGAATATTTCTATTCTGTCTGCGTTCCATCGAGCAGCTGTATAACCTAACTAAGCAAATAACTCCTATGTAATTTAATTTCTCCAGAAACGCAGTACACACAGGTTTTCCGTGCCACGGAGTGCCAGCGAGCGGTGGTGAAGTTCGACGACTTCGGAATCCAGCCGCGCAATTCTAGCAATAATCTCTGCGGTTCCAGCTTCCTGGAGATCCGCTCCGACGTCTCCGTGCCGGAGGGGAAAATGTATTGCTTGTTTTGTCCTGGTTCTTGATTCACGTTTCAATTAAGCAAATGCATTCATTCATTTGCTCATTGCCTGTTGCGGTGTAATATCTTTCATTTTCACCAATTTATCACGATTAAAGTTCAAAAAATTCTATGTATTAACAAAGGAAAAAATTTCTAAAGTTGTTCAACTTAAAGGATTAGAAATTATTTGTTTGGTCTCTATTATGGAAGCTGTATTAAACTTTATGTGACTTTTTTTCAGATTTTGTGGTGAAGAAATCAAGAAAGGAACAGCATTCGAAAGTGATAAGTCAGTGCTCATCCTTCATTACACGAACGGAGACTACACTAAACATGGCAAGGAAAACACATACAGAGGCTACAAGGCTACTTTCACCACCGAAGCCATACCCAACTGCAGGTAAGAGTTGAAAACAGCGGATGTGTTCTTTACAATGTTAATGGTGAGATATGGATTAGTCATGATGTTCCAGAGAATTTTTAATCATGTTGATAAAATTCTCTAAATGTTTAAAAATATTCCAAGAAAATTTTTTCCTGTGGTATTCGAGCTAAATAAGGAATAAGCAACGTCATTGTGTGGCACTCGTAAAGTAAACTCCTATTTTGCAAGCAATCCTATCCCGATGAGGTTAGGTGTTTGGTTCTTTTGTAAACTGCCATCTTATGCCAGATATATGCCCATAATTTTCATGTCTACTGTTACTAGTGTATTGTCCATATTCTACCTGTTTTATAAGCCTGTAGTAAACAGATGTTTCAGTTTGCAGGAGTAAATTGACAAATTCTAACTTCTTGTTTTACAGTTGATGGGGTTTCATTCACCGGCTGGAATGTCCTGAGAACTGAAGACCACAAGGAACATTAAACGAATAGTGTTTTGTTTTTGAAGCGTGTGAAAAATGACTTGCAAGTTCTATTCTTGTTTCATTTTAATGACCAAACTACAACTGGCGATGCTTTGAATTTCCTTGTACAAGACTATCCTAAGGAAAACTTGTTTGAAAGGAGACCTTTACTGTGCTAGGATATAATTTCGATCTTCAAGAATTTCCTACTCTCAATTCCTGTTTTCAATATTTTTTTTTACAACAAATCCTGTCATCATTGCGAATCTTTTGGTAGTGGCTTACGGATTAATTCAGTGCGTACTGGAGCTCCTCTATTAAGGCCCGTTCACACTAGGGGCAACACACGGGCGTCAAGTGCCTCACCGCCCCTCTGCGTGCTCTTCTTGTGGGCAACGAAGCGATTGACGAGCTAGCGATTCACAGGCGCCCTGCCTCATGCAACACAAGCGCCGCACTCAGTGGACGGCTGTCTGTGGTCTAGTCACTCTAGCGAGGTTGTTTGTAAACGCTGGTCCTTCACTATGGCAACTATTGCCACACTTGTTTGGACTCGCTCTCTAGTAGAGTGGCTAATTTATCATTGTAGAGACCATGAATGCCTGTAGAGAGTTCAGTCAAAGGAGTATAAAAGTCGAAATGCAAAAGAACAAGCTCTGGTGAAAATAGTTGAAGTTCTAAAAAACTTTTGTGTACAAGTCACCATCATTAACCAGGTTCGCAAAAAAATTCATACGTTGCGTGCGCAATTCCATCGTGAAATGAATTTCATTGTAAATAAATTCCATCGCATGTGAATTCCACCTCAATTCCATCATCCTGCTTCTGGATGAGTGTTTTTTTTTAGCAGACTGTCAAACAAGTCCACTGGCAGTCTAGTAAAATTTGGAAAGTCTGATGCATTCGCAACTGATAATTCTTTGAAAACGTAATTGTCAATTTGTTCGATAAATCGGACATGTAAGTGTAGCGGAATAATTAAAGCGTGAAATAAAATTCCGTTATCTTATCCGCCTAACGCTGACTTGACAGCGATGAAGGTCAAAAAAAAAGAGGATCCATATCACAATTTATTCTTATCTTGCCAGCGAAAATCCTGCTCATTCGGGATTTTGTTAGAACTTGTCTAACTAAACATCAAATACAAATGGAAATCAGATATCAAATTTATAACTCTAGGAAAGTTCGAAGGGACATGGTTTACTATTTACTGCTCAGAAAAATATCAATTCTGAAAATTGAAAATGCCTTTTAACACAAACTAAATCTAAAACTAAGATAATTCCAGGCTTAAAGGGCAAGTCTTATGAAGAAAGATTGAAGAGTATGAATCTTGTCAGTCTCTGTTATCGTCGCCTGCGTGGTGACCTCATTGAAGTATTAAGTATACCTATCGGTATATACAAGGTCCCAGAAGGATTACTAGAATTTGAAACAAGAAGCAGCACCATAGGGTCACAGCTATAAACTAAAACTGCGGTGCAACCTATCCATGCGACAACAAATTTTCTCGCTTTGAGTCACCAACATGTGGGACAGCTGTGGGAACTTGTTATTTTAACCCCAAAGTTCATAAAACAAGTTTCAAAAGAATACCCACAAATTTTGAAGATGTCCGGAGGGTGTTTCAGACATGGATTGGTGCTTTCAATTTTCTTTCTTGAATCTTGACATTCGAGGGAGTTCACTAGAAGAGTACTCAGACCACATACCTGTCAATGTTACATAAATCAGAACACAAAACACATACATATCAGAAAGTTTATCAGCTGACAATATGACTATTGCAATTTTAAAATTTAATAGGAACAATTCTTACAACCTCAGATTTTTCTCACACAGTTGCCACATGACAGACCCTGGGTTGGATAACCTCATTATCATCTGATATTATCCTATGATTAATGCTATTTTCAGATCTTGTTTGATACGAGACAATAGTATACATATTTATCATTACAATAGCAACACATCATAACACAAAAAGGATACAAAAATAAATCAATCTTATTATTATTAGATTCTTAACCCAGTTTTATGTGCTCTCAAGTTAACAAGCTTGAAATGCCAAATGAATGAATTGGCTACGATCCGCATCTCGTGTTAGTGTTGCATTTTGGGTAAATTCTAGATTATTATTTGACAAGCAAAGTTAGTCTTTTTCGAATTATGAAATTCTATTTTATTTTAATAATGTTACCAGACGTACGTGCAGACTAACTAGGTACATTAACAATCGTCCTGAACGTGCCTTATTTTATAATTCGTCACAAAATGAAATAATACATTTTCGAGACGTTCACTACACAGCCTCCCTGAAGATATTGTTGACGCTCCGAGTATGAACGCGTTCAAGAACAGACAAGACAAGGCCATATGCAGGAGCATATGTTTACTCTTGAAATGCCTAGCACCCTAGGGAAAACTGAAAGTCTAGAAACGATTTTAAACCTACCGTCCGTTGAAAAGATTTGATCAAAAGGCCGGTCTTTTAGATCTGTGAACTAGTCAAGAAAAGTACAAGAATCGGCGACATGCCTATGCAGGCCTATTCTTCAAGCCGAATATACTATACTACTATACTTTACTAAATGAGCGAGCTTTCGACAGCCTAGTTCAATAGTTTTCGAGTTAAAAAGTCGTGTTTCAAAGCCTATAGACATTGATCGATATGCGCTGAATCATTCTCAATGCTAATATCACCAGAGTAAGGCAAAGTCTAGAATACAATAGGTATTCAACATCGTGACAACTAGCAGTTTAGGCTACAATCGTTGCTATCGTTCTAAAGAAAAAAAACAGATTCTTAAAACAGATAACTAGTGCTAGTAATCTCGGGTGCAATACTGGCCTCAGCTAGGCTTGAGCAAGAAACTGGCCTTCGTTTAATGTTATCAAATTTAGACATTGTTGCCGGGTCTAAAATGTCTCGCGCCGCAGGTGAGATAAACCTGTTATCTGCTTCTAACTAACTAGCAACAACCCTACTCTGAATGAAGGAAAATGAAAGACTGGTTCTAATGCAAAATGAATTAAAATATGGGACAGTAAATAAACACACAACTTAATAAAATTGCAAATGAAATGGTTGTTATAATTTGAAATGTGTAATGAAAATATGCTAGTGAATTGGATGTAAGGATTGAATTAATTTAGAATGTGTAATGAAAATGCACTGGTTAATTGAATGAAAGGAGCATGGACAGGTGGAGATGAGCAGATGTAACTGCAAACAGAAAGAACAAAATAAAATGCAAATCATGAATGACTGATAACCTGATGGGATGTAGAATGTAAACAAAGCAAGAACCATTAAACTCCATAAAACTAGTAAAAGCTCATCTCCATATTGTGAATTTATTTTTAAAACTAATGAGTACTCGCACGAGGATTGAATTAAAAGGAATCACAAGTGGACAGATAAATAGAGGAACACTGCAAGATGAATTGAGAACATAAGCTTACTAGAATTAACTATAACTATATAATCCAATATAATAAATTGACTTCCTCAAACTAAACCATATCAGTCAGAGATGAACACAACCAAAGTAAAATGCAAGGGAACACAAGAAGTTAATATCAATGAAATTAGCAAAATACAAAGACAAAACTTAACCTAAATTATCAATGAATAAACTATATAAATTTCTATGCCACTCACCAGTGCAACTGAGTGCCCAGGCTACTGAATAGGAATCCAAATACTTAAGAGTGATAATTCAAGTTTGCAAATTATACTTTGGTCATCTACACTGAAAAAGATAAAAATATTGAATTTAATTTAAATTGAGTTGGATAGAGAACTGAAGAAATATGATAATTAGTAAAGGAAGACATGAAGGTTGGGCTACACAGTAGCCTAATTTAACCTCCGGTAACAACATGAAATCCTGATCAAACATTGCATGAGGTTACTCACTAAAACCAGCTCACTTAGATGTGATTAATTTTTCGACACCTGCGTAAAGAGCAATAGGTTATCATGCATTCTAGAAAAAAGTGAGCAACTTAATCTTGTCAGTAAAATTCTGATTCACTGCAAAATCATGACCTCAGCACGTCAACGGAGGGAATTAGTGACGAATAACCTCGATTAAATTTGATCGTTTCAACTTTTCAGACCTTATCTATCCGATTAATGGAAGTTGAAGTGTAAGCTATCACACATTCTTTACTTAATTGACACAACCACTTGAATGACCTGATCAAGCAGACTCAAACTTCACTAAGGGAAACATGTCAGTCAGGCATGTCAAACATGAGATAAATGAAATAGATGGCCATCTGATTACTGACTAACCAATTAAAAAATCCGTTGTAATAGTTAAATAAAAGCAATATCGGTCTGAATCAGGCACACGGACTAAGGCAATTTTTCCATCTTGAATTCTTGCAGGCAAATACCAGCTTTGGATTCACATTCGCACATGGCGTTCACAGTCACGCATAAGCTCTCTAATTTACAAAGAGAAAAGACTTGATAATCTCAGTAAGTCTTTTTTATTCATGTGTCGCGCTATCCACACAAATTTATAAATAATATAATTAGACACTAATTCTGCACGTTTATGTAACAAAAACACGGGAGCAAAATTTGTTAGAGCCTCGGCGCGGGAACCTCAAGATATAACGACGCGTCCGATTTTTGAATCGGCGTCGGTTGTTTCCGATTTCCGAGCGAAGTGTCAGATGACAATGTTGATACCATTCGTCCCTTGAAATTTCCTGATTGATGTCTACCTTGTTGAAAGATAAAATCCTTCACATGCGATATGTTCATGAGCATTTCCTTGTATTAGCCTCTCCTGTTTATCAAGTCACGCCCTTGGTGACGTCAATTAGCGTAACTATATGAGCTCTGCCCAGACGCGGAAACTTCAGTCTTGGGCCGAGAACAGTCGTGTGTACGCCCTTACTGCTGTCCGTATCCATCAGGGCAGTAAGCCTAAATTAACGTCAGAGTAGAAGATACACTTTAGGCTTATCCATAGTTCAACTGGACGCCGAAGACATCAGTGTTAAAGCTCCAACTT